GGGAAAGATGAAGGCAGGAGGAGAAGGGGATGACAGAGGATGAGATGGTTGGATGGCATCACTGACTCAATGGACATGAGTTTGAGTAAACTCCAGGAGTTGGTGATGGATAGGGAGGCCTGGCATGCTGCACTCCATGGGGTCGCCAAGAGTCAGACAAAACTGAGCAACTGAACTCAACTGAACTGAACTAGAGGATAGTGTAAATAGGACTTGATGGGGGATGAGATGTGGAGGGGGAGGAGGCCCAGAGTCACAGGTGATGCTCAGGAATGATTTAGATAGAGAACAGAAAACAGGAAGAGGTTTGGGGAATGTGTGGGAGTGGGATGGACATGGTAGAAATGGGGCTCAAGAGGGAAATATGGCTTCAAACACCCCTTGGCTGTTCAGATTATATCTAATATTTAGAGATGTTCCCCAGCAACATATATGTCAATTAAAAGAGAAGAAACCCTAGAGAAGAAGTCTATAGGGTGCTCTAATTAAGAAGTGGCAGAGAATAGGAGTAAACTATGATAGAGAAGGAGGGGCTTTTAGAGTGTCGGGAAGGCTAGGGAAGGAGGTCCGCTGAGAGCCACGCTGTCAACAGGTCAAGGATGGATGCGGATGGAAACATACCTCCTGGATTCAGCCATGGGGCCAGTTAGTGATTGTCACTGTCAGTCTAGTAGATGGGAGTGTTGATGGTGGGGGCAGTTGATTGAAACAGGAATGCCAATTCAGAAAGTACATAGTGACTGTCCCAGGAAATTTGTGAATCCGCAGGGAAAAATAAGAGTCTAAGTATGTAGGGGACCATCAAGGCTGATGAGAGAATTACACAAGCTATAATATTGTTGGAATGTGTTGAAGACCCAGGGATAAGGGGAAATAAATACTATGGGTCTCTGATGAGGCTAGAGGTCAATTATTGTCATACTTGAGGGAGAGACAACATCACCTAGAAAACTTTAAAAGTATACCAGTCTTGGATGCTAAATCTAGAGATTCTGCTTTTGAAGGACTGGATTAGGGCTTATGTGCCCTGTGGAGCCTTCTGTACCTGGGCGATAATGATGCTGGCGTTTCACAGATGATACTTTGAGAAGCGAGAGAAGATAAACAGATGGAGAGCACAATGGTTGGTAATCCTCTGCAGACAGAAGAAAAGAGAGGTGTTTTATCCATTATAACAGGAGCAGGAGTAAGCACATGTGTTGTCTGAAGACAGAACATTCACTGATTCTTGTCTGGTGCATTCTACTTTCTCTCTGAAATAAGAGGTGCCTTTTCCTTGAGAATGAGGGGTTAAAAAGTTTGAAGAGAGTGGCAAAGATCGGAAATACTTCTGATGGAGCATGGGGGATTGTGTACTAGTAAAATAAAGAAGGATTTCTGAAGAGTTTGAGAACTGAGTTGAGGTTTATAAATTATGAATTTATAGCCTGAATTGTTTTCACTTGTCTCAGAGTCTGATATCCTAGGGTGAGCACCGAGAGAGTGGTGGGCTGGATGGTTCTAGGGTTTGTGTTTTGCCAGGTGTGAAAGATGATGTAGTAGAGTTGCATTTAGTCCCAGGAAAATTGTTGAGATGATGAAATCCAAGGTCACCAAGAGAGGAAGTAAAGACAGGACTCTAATGAGGAGGAGAGATGAGTCAAGGGGCAGAGGTCTCCGAGAAGCCAAGCATGGATGGACAGAGCTTTGTGGTCTTGGGGGGAAATTTGTGATTGGAAGATTTGAGAGTTTTAGTTGTTCTGGGTGAAGCTAAACTGTGTAGGACGTGGTCATGAGAGTGAAATAATAAAGTAGAGTGGAGACAAAGGTCACTAGAGATGAAACGTGTCAAGAAAGTTAGAAGCCAAGGTCTTTCCTTGGTGGGTTGTCTCCACCAGTTTTACCTTTTCAGCACACTAGAAATGGGACATGTCAAATTACACGTCTTATTTTTTCTCTGAATGTGCATTTAATTCAGTGCATTGCTTCTGGAAAGAATGGACCTCTTCAGTGTGACCTCTAATGACAGGACATCTTTGTTATTTTAAGGAACACACAAGCCTAGAAATCAGATATTTAACCTTACTCTGCTTAAGGGAAGAGCAGCTTAGATAAAGGTATTAATTTGCAGTAGCATTCCTGTCCTTATTGTGCATCACTTAAAAATGGCCCCATCTTTATGCTTTTATAAATATGATCATCAGACCCCTTGCCTTAAAATCATTGGGGGTGATCAGAGGGGATGACCCCTACTCCTGGGTCAGCCCTAGACCTATTAGTACAGTTTACTAGAGTGGGAAGGGGCTGAGTTGGGTAATGCTGGATTCTGTATTTTAACTAGATCTTCAGAGGACTCATGCACACATTCTAATAGACATACACACACTCTAATAAACGTACATGTGTGTACTTGAGTCCATGTGCTTGCTGTGTGCCAGGAGTGTGTAAGTCTGTTGTTGATGCATAGGATTCACGCGCAGACCTACATTCTCTGAAATGTGCCCGCTTGCTTCACTGAGGCACATTTTCATTCTCACAACTATTGCTCCGTTTGTGTGCATGTGTGTGTGTGCTTAGTCATGTCCATAGACTGTAGCCTGCCAGGCTTTTCTGTCCACTAAATTTCCTATTAAAGAATACTGGAGTGGGTATTCCCTTCGCCAGGGGATCTTCTGGACCCAGGGATCGAACCCAAGTCTGCTGCATTGGCAGGCAGATTCGTTAGCACTGTGCCACCTGGGAAGCCGAACTGCTAATACATAGAATAGAGACAGCTATGAAACGTCTTCCTGCTTGTTACTCTATGGAATACAGAATACTCTCCAGGGGATTTTAAGCAAATATGTTTTTACAGATTTTATCTTTGCTTGAATTACAGAGCTTGAGTCCATGATATCCACCCCCCAGTGAGGGCATAATCTTGGAACTCTTAAAAAATAAATATCACATTCACTCATTGTTTTTAATGAAACTGTGTGTTAGTCCAGGGTGAACTGATAAAGAAGAATTTCAGGTTTCCAAATGTCACAAAAAGGACAACACCACAGCCTGCTTTGAGAAGAAACCAAATGTTCTAATTAACATTTTTATCTTTGACATTTCCTGACTGCCTTTATGTGTCCCCGGGGCTATTATTGTAGTTTAACTTTTAAAAATAAAATTCCCATATTCACTCTTACCCCGATTTTTATAGGCAGTTAATCTCAGATAGTTCATCTGCTTCGTTGATTTACATCGCTAATGTCACTTAAGAGAGGTAATCAGAATGCTTACAATATTTTGCTCTGTTTAGCTTAGTGCTACAATTGTCTGAGATAAAAGTACCAGTTATTCTGTTCCAATAACAAACTCAGTAAATTTTTTTCTTGGGGTTAATATGTTCTCTTATTTCAGTTTTCCTTCCACTCTTTGTCTTCATTTCCAAAAAGCATCACATTTATTCCTATGCTTGGTTTTCTATTCAGCATCTGGGTATGGCCATTGACATCTATCAGGTTCTCAATAACTTATTTGAAAGTTCTCCAGCTTCCCTTGCCCCTTATATTTTTAAAAGGATTCATAAAAAACCTGAAAAGACGGAGTTATAACAAGTTTACATTTTGCAGCTGGTTTGCATGTCATAGAGCAAGTTGTGGTGTGATAGTAAAAGAAAAAGAAGGTGGAAGGAATAAAATCATCATTTATTGTGCAATGCTTTATGCTGGAGTCTGTGCTAAATGTGCCGTATCTTATTTCATTTAATCCTCACCGAAATTTTGGAAGTTGGGCTTGTGATTACTACTTTTAAAGATTTAAGAACTAGGTAAGACTCTAAGAAATTAAAGTCATTCACTCAAGTTCTTCTTTTTCATCAAAGTATCCCCCCAACCACTTATATTTTCAATATCCATCTTTCCAAGATTCTTTCCCTTATTACATAATGTATTAACAATCTCAGAACCTGAAAGTATCAAGTCTTCCTTCAACTGTAATTTGTAGCACTTGTTTTCCTTACAGTTAATGGTCTTGAAGGAGCTGTCTATGTTCTTAGTTTTCACTCCTAACATCTTTACACCTACAGCAAGCTGGCTTTAACTTCGACCTTCCAGCAGTTTTGTGCTGTGCTGCGCTTAGTCGCTCAGTCGTGTCTGACTCTTGGCGACCCCACGGACAGTAACCCTCCAGGCTCCTCCGTCCATGGGATTCTCCAGGCCAGAATGCTGGAGTGGGTTGCCATGCGCTCCTCCAGATCCTAGCAGTTAAGCACATGCATTAGCACAAAGCCACCGTCTACTCCGGTTCTCACCTGGCCTGCGCACTTTCGGTGTTGACTATGTTTGACACACTAGCGTGGTTGTTAGGCGGATTAATTCAAGAAATTCAGCAGTGTTCATGGCACATGGGAAATGGCATGCTCTGTATTATGTGAGTGTGTGTGCCCAGTCGTGCCTGACTCTTTGTGACCCCCTGGACTGTAGCTCCCCAGGCTCCTTTGTCCATGGGACTGTCTCAGCAAGAAAGGTTGCTGTTTCCTCCTCCAGGGGATCTTCCTGACCCAGGAATTGAACCCGAGTCTCCTGTATTGGCAGGTGAATTCTTTACCACTGGGCCACCTGGGAAGCCCACACACACACACATGTTATTTTAACATCTTAAAACAGCATTAATATGGAAGGTAAAAAAAATACACACACACACACATACATATATATATATATACATATTTTTCTTCTGCATATTATACTGTTTTAACATCTTAAAAAACATTCCTTTCTGGATGGGGAGAGACTGCTCCCCGCTGGGCTAACCAGTTCTTAGAGGTCAGCTAGGGCTCAGCTGGGAGCATGGCCTTAATATGTCAGCTAAGCAACATGGAGCCTGGCTTCCTCTATCTGGCCCTGAACCCCAAGAGACGATACTGAATTATCCAAGGGCCAGGTACCAGGCAGCTAGAGACCATCCCCTAGAGCCTAAAGCTTGCTGAAATGATCAAGTCAGCCAACCCTAACCTGTTCACCCGTCCTGCTTCGTCTCTCCTGCAGAAACCCCAGTGAAGGCCGTGGTCCAAGCCCTCCCCTGCTTCCTATCTTCTGCCTCCTGACCCCCCTGGTGTTTTCCTAAGTGGCTCTGGGTGGTGTGCTCTGACTGCTGTCTCTAGGACCTGTAAGTACAATGAACTTTGTTTTCTGAACCACTCCTTTGTCTCCTCTTGTGGCCCCCGATGGCTGACTATCTCGTTAAAAAATCCAACAGAAACCCTCATTAAGTGTTAGATGTTGTTGATGTGTAGCAGCGATTGATACTCCTGGGCATCTATGAGCACAATGATCCGGGTCTCTATCCACCTTACAAATTTTACATTTTTAGTTTCTTTTATTAGTTTCTGTCTTTCTTTACTGTCCTTAGACTCAGGCAAGAGGAGTCCTTGCTCCAGGCTTCACCTTCACATGAAAAAATCAGTTATATTGAGATGTAATACATGCACAATAGCATTCATTGATTATCTTTTGTTTTTATTATAAGATTACATAGTTATTTATTTTTTTAATGAAAATACAATCCATTGACATAAGTAGAAACAATATAACGTTCTAGATCTCAAGTGGCACGTTCATTTTACTTATATCTCAATGTGTATTTTTTAAAAGGTGTATTTATTTGTTTGATTGCATCTGGTCTTAATTGTGGTACGCAGGGCAGGATCTTTGATCTTGGGTGCAGCATGCGGGATCTTTAGCTGTGGTGTGGGAATTCTTTGCTGTGGGCATGCAGGATCTAGTTCCCTGACCAGGGGTCAAACCCAGACCCCCTGCACTGGGAGTGTGGAGTCTTAGCCACTGGACCACCAGGGAAGTCCCTCAATATGTATTAAACTATACTATCTTTATATGTTCTTTTATATGCTTCAAATGTTATGTGATAGGAATGTAATTAATTATTTGATGTTTTGACAGCTATATAGACTCCTGTACTCGCCACCATAATCATGACATAGAGCATGTCTCTCGTCCCCCAAATGCCTCATGCCTCTTTGGAATCAGTCTTCTCTTCTTCTTGATCCTCGGCAACCATTCATCTTCTCTCTGTCATTATAGTTTTGTCTTTTCTAAAATTGTGTACACGTGGAAATGACAGCATTTAGTCTTTGGTATCTGGATTCTTTCATGTAGCATCAAGGTTTTGAGATTCATGCCTGTTGTAACACAGCAGTAATTTGTTCTTTTTTTTTAGTAGCTGAGAAGTCTACGATTAGTGGTGCAGTGGTAAAAATTCACTCGCCAACATAGGAGATCCAGGAGACTTAGGTTCAATCCCTGGATGGGGAAGATCCCCTGGAGAAGGAAATGGCAAGCCACTCCAGTATTCTTGTCTGGGAAATCCCATGGACGGAGGAGCCTGGTCGACTATAGTCCACAGGGTTGCAAAGGGTCGGACACAACTGAGTAAACAACAGGAGAATTAATCCACCCCCTGTGACTCCTTCCTGGTCAGAGATAGAGTCAAGGATGTAAGTCCTCCTCCGCAGGGAGTGGTCCTGCTCCGTCCCTTCTACAGCAGCGCCCTTCCCACAGAGTGAGGACTTTGTGGGGCCAAAGGATAGCCTCACCCCCCACGTGTGTTTTCCTCTATTCTAGCCCCTATTCTTGATTATCAGAAACCAGGAACCTTCTATTTGAATAACACAGACCGACTTCTAGTCTTATCTTTCCCTGAATCATTTTCTTTTTTTAACTTTAAAAAAAGTATTCATTTTTACTTATTTGGCAGCGGTGGGTCCTAGTTGTGACATGTGGATCTTGGCTTGTGAGCTCTTTAGTTGCGGCATGTGGGATCTAGTTCCCCAGCCAGGGACCAAACCTGTACCCCCTGCATTGGGAGAGTCTTAGCCGCTGGACCACCAGGGAAGTCCCATGGATCATTGATGGAGAACCTAAGAGTGGCTGCTTGTGGGGGTGATGTGATCAAATGTCCACCTGTATACCGAGAGGCCCCTTGTGGTATCGGATGGATCCAGGGGTGGGAAAAGAAGGGAATCCGAGCATCTGGGGTCAGTTCTCCCCAAGGACCACACCTTGGCATGGGAATTGCCAGTCCAAGAATTCTAAATGTAGGTTGGCATTCCAGAATGTTATGATAGTATGTTTTTTAAGGTAGGAGAATCAAGTATTTTTTATTTAACACTGTGTTGGCTTAATGCGTAACTTTTAAGTCTTAGATGTACGTATGTGGACCTTTGTACTTTTGCTCCAGACCTGGCAAATGTCAGGTGTGGGCTGACTTTTTGTCCTTACTACCCTCTAAATGTATGTGTTTCTTTGTTTAAAAAAATATTTATTAATTTATTTGGCTGCATCAGATCTTCGTTGCAGTCTGTGGGATCTTTGAAGTTCGTTGCAGCACGCCAGCTCTTCATTGTGGCATGTGGGATCTGATTCCCTGACCAGGGATTGAACCCGGGCCCCCTGCATTGAGTGTGGACTCTGAGCCTCTGGATCACCAGGGAAGTCCCTGTATGTGCTTCTTGTGTCTTCTCTTTGTCCTCTTCCGTTATCACTTTCTAGATTGCATCTTCACCTCTGTTCCCCAAATTTCCACTAACAGAGTTATAGGTTGGCACAGGTATGCATGGTGAGTAGGTCCTACAGATTCCGTTGGTACAAGTGTACAGACAAGACTGGAAATGGCTTGCTGGGTGCCGGGGTGGAGCAGAAAGAGTACACCCATAGGCAAAAGGGTATTAAACTATCTGAGAAGTTTGTGAATAAACCAGAAAGAACTGAGCAGTGTAATGGGTGTGTCTGTACAGGCTCTAGAACCAGGTTGCCTGGGATCAAATTCTGTTCCTCCCACTTACTACCTGTGAGAACTTGGGTAGGTTTCCTAATCCATTTGTACCTCAGTTTCCTTGTCTATACAATGGGTGTTATAATGGCAACCATCTCATAGACTTATTTTAAGGACCTATAATTCAATACTTATAAAATGATGCAAGAATGCCTGGGAAATAGGAAAATCTCAGTGCATTTTAGCTAATATATTAATGAGGGACATTTGCAGGATTCAGGCTGGGATTTCCATATGTTTCTGCTGCATGTTTTAGAATTGGATAATCTTTACTTGCACATTTTAAAATAATGTATGGTGGTTCTTTGGGCTTCCCTAATAGCTCAGTTGGTAAAGAATCTGCCTGCAATGCAGGAGAGCCTAGTTCAATCTCTGGGGCAGGAAGATCTGCTGGAGAAGGGATAGGCGACCCACTCCAGCATTCTTGGGCTTCCCTTGTGGCTCATCTGATAAAGAATCTGCCTGCAATGCGGGAGACCTAGGTTCGATCCCTGGATTGGGAAGATACCCTGGAGAAGAGAAAGGCTACCCACTCCAGTAGTCTAGCCTGGAGAATTCCATGGACTGTATAAGTATAGTCCATGGGGTCGCAGAGTTGGAAAAGACTGAGCAACTTTCACTTTCACTAATGGTAGCTCAAGGTGCATTTACTCCGAAGCTGGCTAGGTGCTCACCAAATCTATCTCCTCTTTCTGGGAGCATGGGTAGATTTTATTTCCCAGCTTCCTTTGATGTTAGGCTGGGGCTGTATGCTTGAGTTCTGGAAAAGGAAACGTGTGCGGAATTGCTGTGTATCACTTTTAAGCATAGTTATAATTCCTCTCAGTTACACTTCTCTGTCTTCCCCCATCTGAGGACTAGATTATCCCAGGTTTACCTTGAAATTTGTAAAATGGCAAAAACATAAGATACAAGCACTTGGGCTACTAAGGCACAGCTTGCAAGAGAACTACTCAAGAGAACCACCAAACCGGGAATATTTGCCTTGAACTTGAATAAAAAATCTTTCTATTGCATTAAACCAATAAGACTTTGGATTGTCTTCTACAGCATTTAGTCTATTCAAGTACAGATATTTATATGTTGAAGTGGAGTCCTTTCATAACAAGAGTATGAAATATACGTTACTGGCTTAGCCATTGGCTATAGTAAGGAAATTGTAACTGGCAGCTGGGAAAATGGTAACCGTGTTATGCAGTGGCAAGGCATTCGGTAAAACTTCTTCCTGTGAACACTGGGAAGGTAGAACCTGTTGGAACTGAACTCTAGGTGAAGAACTGAAAAATATGACTCTAGTGGGGTTCGATTTTTTATTGACTGTGTTGGACAGAGAAAAGCCTTGAAAAATAAATGGCTAGTTTTCAAGTATAAATGAAAGGGAATAGAGAGAGTCTGGAAATTCAGTTTCGCAGAGTTGAAAATGTCAGCTGTGTTGTGGCATCTAAAGAGTGAAAAATGGAATTTAGGAAAAAACTTTAAGCCCTGACAGTCCACTAAATCTTTTCAGGTGAATAAAGTGATTCACAAAAAAAGATCAGTTGAAGGATAGGGTATTCTCCATTCAGAAGTTCTAGTCTCAAGGTAGCTATTTTTAAACTGAGAGACATTCTTACAGTGGCAGAGAAGCATAGGTAAAGCATATTGGAGAATTCTGTCTGGGAAAGATCTTTGAATGTGGCTTCTGGCACTTGCAACTGCTGGGAAGAAAATTGGTTAGAAGTCTGTGAAGTTTTTGAGGAGTTTTTATTTCCAAATAAGCCACACACTAAACAAAATTTTAAAAACCTGTTTTGACTCCTTTAGACTTGCAGCGATCACTGGGACTCCACAATTGCATAAGTATGAAGTGGATTTCCAATGCTCCCCAGACATGCCCCCCTCTTTCCCACTTCACATAGTAGACAAGGCAAAGATCACAGAGGAAGGAGCCAGGGTCCCAGAGAAAGCTGGACATGGGTATCCCTCTTCGAGAACACAAGAGAAACCTTATCAAACTTTTCCTATCACCATTTCACAATCCTTCACATTTTCTACCCTAGAATGACTTCAGCATTGCTAAAGACCACTGACTTATAGACTTTTCCACATGTTCCCTTTGTAAATGGGGGCATTGATTGCTGTAGTCTTGCCTCTGTCCCACCGTTGCATGTTGCATATTGGGTGGGTGGGGGGTGTGTGCGTGTGCGCGTGCACGGGTGTGTGTGTGTGGTGGTGGCGGTGGTGGGAGATAACTCGTCTTTAATTCATAGATTATCAGAACATAAGGGGCCTTAAGTACCCATAATGGATGAACAGTGCACTTCTTGGGGATCTGAACT